GGGGGGGGGGGGGGGTGTAAAAACCCAAAACAAAAATACCTTAATGGATAAGAGATACTCCAACTACCTGCAAAGTACAAGGAGAGCTTCAAAAATACCTTGTCGTAATAAGTGTCCACTTTTTGCAAGGATCTGTTATAAACATGTGCTAAAACACCTTGGACTTGGTTTAATACAAAAGAGAGTTTTGGCATTTGAAAAGGTAGTTCTGGCATTTGAAAAGTGAGTTTTAGCATTTGAAAACGGAGTTCTGGCTTTTGACTGAGGAGTCCCGGCAGTGAAAACTCAGTTTTGGCGTTTGAAAATAATGACCGCTCCCTGGCCCTTGTACTATTATGAAAGTGAATAAGTATAGGTTATTTTGAGGCAACGAGGGGATATGTGATTTATTCACCGAGGCGCGCAGCGCCGAGGTGAATAAACACATATCTCCGAGGTGCCTCAAAATAACGTACTTATTTTTCACACTGCGAGGTCGCGTTAATGAGTCAGAAAAGAAATAATTCTTAATGCCATATTACCTTCGTTATGTTGTTTTTTTCTCATTTTTTGTGCTGCAAAGACATTGCAGGTGAATATTAGAGGGATTATTAATTGCAGGTGAATATTAGAGGGATTATTAAACGGAGATTGATTAGAGGGAATATTGAATATATTCCCCGACAAGAACAAAGGAAACCGAGCAGGGTGAAAAATAAGTGGATGTACGTGTATGTATTAATTCACTTCGTACAGTAATAATACAAAGTTACAAACTGCAACTGAGACTAATGAATAAATATATAGATGGTTATGGAAAATTAAGTTGACATTTTGTGAAGTTCGAATATGCCTAGTGGAAACACCACCAACAAAACAAAATTTTCCGTTGGGAAATGAAAGACAATGGACGGAGTAAAATGTTTTTCCTGTGGAAAAGAAGGACATATAAAGAAGGAATGCCCAGAAATAAAGGCCAAAAAGCTTGCCAAGATAAAATGCTTTAATTGTGGACGACATGGCCATCTTGCCAGGGAATGTGAACAGGAAAGTCCAGCCTTGTCTTTTGGCTCATCTTCTTCATCAGTGGGTGCTATGGCTTTGCCAACTGTGAACGGTGTTTCATATTTTGACACAAATGTAGGACAAGCACCTGTATCTACTGTGAAGTACATTGACTCCCATTGTCATTTGAACTACGTTTTTGATAAGAATCACCATCATGAAGATTTTAATAGTTTTAAAAACAAATTCAATTTTCCAGAAAATTTTAGTGGATGTATCACAAGTTTCTGTGACCCAGCCTCATTTTCAAGTTTTGGCATTTGTGATGAGCTGATCGAACATGACCAAGTTTGGGCAGCGTTTGGCTTCCATCCGCACAACGCCAAGTATTATAACGACTTTTTGGAGTATAAACTTTGCGAACGACTCCAGCATCCGAAAGCGATCGCATTAGGAGAAATTGGCCTTGACTACTCTGTTCGAAGTCAGTCTGAAGTCGATGTTCAGAAAGAAGTATTTCGTCGGCAGGTTAGGCAGGCGGAAGTTTGGAACAAGCCCTTGGTTATCCATTGCCGTGAAGCCGAGAATGACGTTTTTGACATTCTCTCGTTTTTGACATTCTGACGTTTTTGACGATTCGAGATTGCGACAAAGTTTTTAAACCATTTTCCTAATCTATATCTGGGGGTGAGCGGGATCGTTACATTCTCAAAGGCATCACAAGTTCATAGTGTTGTTTACGATGCCCCAATTGAGAGGATCGTTCTCGAAACGGACGCACCGTACCTCGTTCCGAGCAATCTTGGCAACGATGCAAGATGGAGTCATCCTGGCATGATCCCTTTGATTGCCAACGAAATTGCCAAGATTAAAAACATGGAATTGGATCAAGTTCTCGAACATGCTTTGGCAAACACGAAAAGCATTTATGGTATATAAAATGAGAAATAGCTAGTCACATATTCTGTAAAGGTCAACTTACATTACACAACTCTTGCCAAAAACTGTTGCATGCATGCAACCTGCTTACAACTTGAGTTGTACTGTGTAAATCAAGCACACAACTCACCTACAATAACATAGGCTTGTCGCTTAATTTACACAGTACAACTCAAGTTGTAAGCATGTTCCATGCGACAGTTTTAGGCAAAAGTTGTGTAGTGTAAATTGCCCTTATTAATACAGTCTATCTTAATATTATTATTGGGTTTTAATATTGTTTTGTATTGTGTTGTACTGTATTGTTGTATTTTAATATAGAATTGTAATATTGTATTTTATCTGTTTTTATCGATTCTAACTAATAGTCAATTTGCAAAGCTTTTATGATGTAAAATAAAATGATTAACAATAAATTCATTAAAATTTATGTGTTTATCAGATAATGTCCCCTTACTTTTACAATCTTCCGAAACTTCTTCCAGAAGTTAATTGCAAAGCTTTATAATAATGAAATTTACAAACAGGTTTGAGTTTGTAAAGAAAGCCGCTGATTGGCTACTTGACAAGAGCACTTGAAATGTGAAGTAGCTCAGCCAATCAGTGAAGATCAAAACCTGTGAAGTTCAGGGCTCGAAACTTAAGTAAGTGAAGCAGTCATCAGAGCTGTAAGTAACTTTGTTGACTTTGTTACAAGTAACAAAAGTAATTGTTACTTTTTCAAATAAGAGTAACTAGTTTCGTTTCAAAAAGAGGTGACTGTTACTGCAAACTTGCAGATGCAACTTTAAAAAATTGTGATGTACTTCAAAAAATTGAAAGTAACTGTTCAACTAGTTACAAAAATCATCAAGTATAACCTTTGCATGGTATTAACTAGTATTTTTTATGTGTAACTTTTACTGGTAACAGTTCCTTTTTTGATCATGTAACTGCAACTATAACAAAAACATATGTGACTTCTACAGTACTGGCAGTCGTTACCATTGGAATGGTTGTTACCAACATTTGCTGAATGTTGCTATCTGCGACTGTTCATTGTTGGATGCAAACAACGGTAATAACCAAAGTACAGTATCGATCTGTAACATAAAGTATCCAACGGCATACCAGATTGCAGGCTCGGAAGGATCAAAGATCACATGACCTCCAAGTACAATATCATTGTCTAACATAAAGTACCTTGAGGACATATCGTTCTCAGATTGCAGGCTCGGAAGGATCAAAGATCACATGACCTCCAAGTTCAATATCAATGTCTAACATAAAGTACCGTGAGGACATCGTTCTCAGATTGCAGGCTCGGAAGGATCAAAGATCACATGACTTTCGATATATATTTCTGTCTGAACAAAAACTTGGTTTCTTGCAAAAATTTGACAAAATGATGTCGTTTTTTCAACGCATTTTGGACTGGATTCGCAGCCTCTTTTGGAAAGAAGAGATGGAACTAACACTAGTCGGGCTTCAGTACTCTGGAAAAACGACTTTTGTGAATGTGATTGCGGTATGAAAATGCTACAATGCTGTGGTTTTGTTTTTGTTTTCGATGTCATTTCAATGTGGTAGTTGTTTATAATTGTACTTACTGATGCTCTTTTGCAGTCTGGGCAATATAATGAAGATATGATCCCCACAGTAGGGTTTAATATGAGGAAAATATCGAAAGGCAATGTTACCATAAAGGTATACTGATTATCCATTAATATATTGACTTTTAAAACATGGTATTATCTGTGTCAATATTAATATTTGCATGGTTTTATAAACTATAGGTGATGTGTAACCACTCCCATGGGATTCAAAGGACAAAGCGATTTTTGCCATTTTGGATGAATTTGCATGACAAACAACCAAAATCTTTTGTCAATGTCATCCAACATGGCGACGGTGACATAACTTGCACATCACCTATATCACAATAACTGCATTGTTTGACAAAAAATTTAGATGCTACACATTCTCGCATCAAAATATATAGGGGCAATTAACCAATTCCTATTTAATACTCAATGTATCAAACAATAAGATATTGCCTTTTGCATAATTGGTCATCCCAGAAAACATCCATGCCTCCCCGACTGAGGAGAGTGGGAATTAACTTCCTTACGGACATCCTAATACACTTACTATTACCAGTAGAAATTCACGGTAGAAATTTCCTCCGTGGGGGAGTGTGGATCTTTTCTGGAGTGACCCAATATATAATTTATTTTCAGGTTTGGGACATTGGTGGGCAACCTCGTTTTAGAAGTATGTGGGAGAGATACTGCCGTGGCGTGAACTGCATTGTGTATGTAAACATAAGATTTGTGTATTTTGTATTTTCTACTAAATACAAGGCAATATTTTCTATGTTGTGTAATTGGGATGAAAAGTGTTACTGTCAATGCACTAGAAGTGTTGATAAAATATTGCATCAATTCATTTCCTCAAGTTGATCAATTCATACAAATTCAAATTTCTTTTTACTTCCTGTGCATTTCCTATTGGTCAATAGGTTCTGAAACGAAATCTAATTGGCTCATCTAAAAGTAACAGGAAGTTGATCAATTTTCTATCAAATGAATTGATCAACTTGAGGAAATGAATTGGTGCAATATTTTATCAACACTTCCATTGCATCGACAGTAAAAACCTATAATCTTTTTGGCATTCCACTCAAAATGACTTTGTTTTAGCAAAGTAAATTTTGTAGTTTACACAGTTAGCAACTTTTTTAATGCATCTGGCGGCTGAGAAACACAAAATAATAGTTAATCATTGATGCTATAAAATTGATGACATATTTATACACTCAGTAATATAAGCAAAACTTACTGAACTTCAGAAATAATTTTCTTTTTGGTGTACCATGTACAATTGAGCTGTACATGTACAATTGAGCTGCTTTGGTACAGGCTGGGCAGAGTCAGATGAAAGTGTCCATATTAGCAGGATGTGTATAATGACATTTTCTCCATTGTCTCATTACTGTCGTTCCAATTGAAGTGTTGCTCAAATATTGATTCAATACATCACCTCGGGCTGACCAATTCATTTCATCAAGTTCCTCGAGATATTCATACACTTCCTGTGAAAGAGCCAATTCCAAGTATTTGATCATTTCTGGTCACTTCCTGTGTATTTATGATTGGTTAGTTGCACAAACAACAAAGGTGATTGGTGCGTTCAAACTATTCAACAGGAAGTTTACAATTATACTAGGAAGTGTATGAATATCTCGAGGAATATCCCGATTTGGGTGTTGGGGCATCAATTTCCCATTTGTAATGCAAAATGACTGAAAAGGCAAAGCTCTATTTTCCTCATTTTACAACATTTTGCAATGAAACTTTGGAATATTACTAATTTTGTGATGCTCTTTCAAGCTGTGATGAAATATTTGTCTAGACTTGCCTAGATCAAAATTTTAGTTATAAGGGGAAAGGTCTATTGTCTGCATTGGTTAATTAACAAGAATTAAATGCCACCCAAAAATGGTGGATATTTGTCATCATGAGAAAGGCTAATTGATAAGTTAACCTCCCTGCTAGCACACTGTAGTCTCGGCACAAGATAAATCATATGATGTGCAATATACAATTACTTTATGGTTTCCGTGTTTGGATGGCCTGATCCAAACACGCGGGAATGTTGCGAGAGTTAAGAAAAACGCGCGAAAGCACGAGCCGAAGGCGAGTGATTTTGCGCGCTTTTCTTAACTCGAGCAACATTCCCAAGTGTTTGGATCAGGCCGTCCTAACAGGGAAACCATAAAGTAATTGTTTTATAAAATAACAACAGCACGATAGTCTTCCGTGTTTGGATGGCCTGATCCAAACACGGGTTTCGACCAATCAGAGCATGTGTTATATACATGTTATTTTATAATTTTCAATACCACAACATTTGAACTTATTAACACAAGAATTTTTTTGTAGATATATGGTTGATGCTGCCGATCATGATAAATTTGATGCTTCGAAAAATGAACTGCATAATTTATTGGATAAACCGCAGCTGTCAGGAATTCCAGTAAGAACGTTTATCATTACTGACAGTTCATTTAAGCATCATCAAATTTGTAGTCTATCATAAATTTGTAACCTACCATTAATTTGTTGAAATAACAAATACTGAACAAGGTTTGTTATTCTGCAGGTACTTGTGCTTGGAAACAAGCGAGATTTACCCAATGCAATAGATGAGAAAGAATTGATAGAAAAATTGTAAGTATTTGTTTTAAGGTACAGTACCAATAAATAAGTGGAAAAACATCACAAAAAACCTGTAGATATACAGAAGTACATTTTTATATGTATGATAATTATGTGTATATTTTTTCTATGATTATAAAGCATTTTATTGTGATATCTTTCAGAAACCTTTCATCTGTTCAAGATCGAGAAATTTGTTGCTATTCCATTTCTTGCAAAGAAAAACAAAATATAGGTATGTTGTTATGCTTTTTTGCAGGTACATGTAAGTACATATTCGTAATCTGAAACAGGTAGACTAGATAAAATAGAGGTTGCATTTTTCCAGGCGAGGAGATTTAAAGGGAGATTTTTTATTACATACTCAAAACTAATGAGTGTAACGAACCACTTTTCTAGGTGGACTATTAACTGAGGATTTCTGGTTAAGATTCCACCTAACATATTCTGGTTAATTCAACCATATAGCCAGGTTAAATTTTAGAGTATATATTAAATGTTGGATGGTCATTTGAGGGTCAGAACTTTTAATAATTTTCTCATACATGACTTTATTTAATTAAAGTGGTTACAACTCCTAGCCCTAAAGCTAGTTTACAAGATCTCCACTAACTACAATACTAGCAAATTACTGGTTATATACAAGTTAAGTACATCAATTCTATAAGATGACATAAATTACCAAAAAAAAGTTAAACTTTTTTAGGTAAACAACAAAACCCCTTACATATTAAATTGTACAATCCTTTACTATTTATATCAGGTTCACATATCAAAAGCTTATTTTCACATATGAAACATATTGCTGCAAAAATATATACATGCAGTGTAGGTATTTATTGCAGTTTGTATGTACAGTATGTAGGTTACATCGTGGAAATGTGAAAATCCTGAAAAATTATTATGTAGTGAAATTACTATATGTGACATATTCAAGTAATTATTTTAAGTTAATAGGCAAAAAAATATATAGGCCAATTATATTGTTTGTGTTCATACTTGTAAAAAAAATCATACTGTTAACAATCCACAATTTATAAAAATAATGAAAGGTTAGTATACAACCTAATATATTGGAATATTTCTGCAAAGAGTGAAACTAAATGTTGCAAGTACTCCAATGTTACAGAGTGAGTACATAATTGATACAGATAGGTAGAAACTGTACGTTTTATTAGAACAGATCAACAGATTATTCTAATAGCGAAGCTAATCTAGAAATTATATTAAGGTGGTAAGGGACCTGGGTTCATAGTCATTTATCAAAGTAGTCACTTTAAGTTTTGTTTATATAAGTGTTTGCCTGACTTACAATTTTTCAAGTCATTGGGAATTGAATTCCATAAATTTCAAATTCCCTTTTTTGTTTTGTAGATATAACTCTACAGTGGCTGATGAACCACTCAAAATCAAAGAGTTAGAAAATTGAGATATTTGAACAATAATTATGAACCTCTCTACATTAAGCAAGTGTGATTGCTTAGGGACCCTCCTTCTTTAGACTTCACTTTTATCAATATACAAATTATAAGTATACACCACGAGTAGAATATAAACATTCAGTTGGAATTTTGGAGCTACAGTACGTTTGAATATTGCCTTTTGTCGGGCTGATTTCAAGATTTACTACATGTATGTTTCTTACAATGTGAGTTTTGTACTTTGAAAAGAGTTTAACGCATTATATAATAATCCATGAAGAAAAGGAAAAGGAAAACGCTACCTTGTCGGTGGTTTTAAATGTGATCAAAAATCATCTTTAGCTTAGACAACGTTTATTTGTAAAATTACTTCACCAATAAACTCATAAGATGGGTAATTTTTTTAAGACATTTACAGTCAAACCAGATGTTAACACTCTTGCGAGCAATATTGCAATATTGTCCTACAATAGTGCAATTTTGATAGGCAGATACTCAGATAGCTCTGAGTAAGTTGCAACCGACGCGAACAAATTGCAAGTTGAAATTCGCAAAAGATTTGTAAACAAAGCCTCTGATTATACTATAAGAAAGGGGGAAGCACCAATCCAGTTGCTCAGACTATTTGATTGGCTTCCCTCTTATAATCCAATCAGAGGCTTTGTTTACAAATCTTTTGTGAATTTCCAACTTGCAATTTGTTCACGTCGGTTGCAAATTGCTCAGAGCAATCTGCCTATCAAAATTGCAATATTGTGGGACAATATTGCAATGTTTCTTGCAAGAGAACATCCGGTTTGACTGTAAAACACTTACGTACTGTACAGTCCATGCTTTGTCAGATATAATACACTTGGCTGTTACTCGTGTTTTATATCTGATAAAGCACTCCTGCTCGTATTTTGAATAGTACATATTCATTGCGCAACAGGCCTCGAATTTCCCTGAAATCAGTCGACGGCAATGGCGTTAAAAATTGCCGTAGAACGTAACAGTTGTCTACGGCAATTTTGGCAGTTTCCACGGCATTTTTCAAATTACTGTAATAAAACTTTAATTTTATTGTTACTTTGGATCTATGACAAGCTAGAAATATGTCTACCTACTTCTTTAGTGGGTTTTTTTTCGAAGAAAACTGAGACTAAAATAGTGATTTATGCATGATTTGATCAACATCTGAATTCAAGTATCAAAGTAGTAATGCACAGTGAATAGTATAAAAATTGCGCTACACGGCAAAAAATTGCCGTCGTTGCCGCAATGATCCACGGCATTTTGTTCTCCCTCTACGGCGATTGCCGCGATAAAATTCGAGCCCTGGTGCGCAATATATGCAGTCTGACATTGCCAATTTTTCTTAGGCCTATTTGTAAAACTTCAGCCCGACAAGTTTGAAGCGTTAACGTAGCTGTAGACAGATTTTTAAAATCCAATCGATATTATGAGCGGTTTTGATTATGAAAAAGAAATCATGGAATCCTAATTATCATAAATGTATTATTTTGTAATAGAATGTTATCGAATGGTCACTTTTCTTGGTCCTACTCGAAGTAATATACAGGTTCAGATTTGGCTTTCGCTACCGCTATTTCTCACTGGCTTAGGACGCATCTGATTGGATAATCGGATATATCAAACGCATCTGATTGGTTAATCGGATATATGAAACGCATCTGATTGGTTAATCGGATCTATCAAACGCATCTGATTGGTTAATGATCGCTTAATGGTAGCAGAACTCAAATCTGAATCTCTCTAAAGGGACAGTCACTTGGGGAATTACAATCACATGAGTCACTCGAAATAGGCCTTTCCACGGTTTCTGTCGCCATATTGCAGGGGGTGCAAAAACATTGGGGCGAGCGCGGGACCACCAATGGCGCCCATACTATTTCCTATTGAGTGAGTGAAAATTACCTTTTGACATTTTGTCCTTTTTCTCAAAAAATTTCGATACAAGCATATCCAATTTTTATTTTTGGATAATCGCTGGGTTTTTTCTGTTATGTGGCTGAGATTTCTTGCTAATCGAGGGACAGGAAGTAATAAAAAACGGCGGCTTTTGTTGCACACCTTGACCGACGTTTGAGCGATGATTCTTGTTATTTCGTTTGTTTAACCGATCTTTGGAAGAATATTTGTCCATTAAGTGTGTGAGTCCTTTGGTGTCCGCCATTATTACTGTTTATATTTGTATATTTGTACAAGAATCATCGCTCAAACGTCGGTCAAGGTGTGCAACAATAGCCGCCGTTTTTTATTACTTCCTGTCCCTCGATTAGTAAGAAATCTCAGCCACATATCAGAAAAAACCCAGCGATTATCCAAAAATAAAAATTGGATATGCTTGTATAGAAATTTTTTGAGAAAAAGGACAAAATGTCAAAAGGTAATTTTCACTCACTCAATAGGAAATAGTATGGGCGCCATTGGTGGCCGCGCGCTCGCCCCAATGTTTTTGCACCCCTGCAATATGGCGGCAGAAACCTTGGAAAGGCCTATTGCGTGAAATTTCAATGTTTTTGGGTCATCCATAATTATCGAAGCCAGCTCGGGTACACAGGCTGGCTCGCCCTAATAAACAACCCCTTATTTCATTTAATTTTATTTATTTCTCATATTACCGAATAACTTTTTAAATTTTTTTAATTGAAATTAAAATTAAATCAATTTATTGCATAATGTCCGAGCGGTCACGGGACTCAAATGTCCAACAGGACTCAAAGTTCCACGCGAGGCACTCCCCACTATAAACTATTTTAATAGTATATCGACTGAAATCTAGATATAAATGTATATAGATAAAGAATTGCGAATATCGGATCATCGCGAGGTATACAGTCGTTGAACTAAGCATATATCAAGGTTTTTAAGAGAAAAATAAATGTGCAGTTAATATTTGGTGAAGAAGATTGGTGGCTTGCGTCATTGGGATACCCATTTGGCGCGAATACTTGTGAGACTCTCTGGATTACATACGTTGCCGCATTTGTCGCGAAGGACCACAACTCGCCAGCCCGTCGCTCAGCCCACACTCTCCAGCTCTCGTTCATGGTTGTGAGACGTGGTTGACCGTTGGCCATCTTAAAGACAAGATGATTTTCTTGATATCCTGAATCTGACCAATAAATCTTTATAAAGTGGTCAGCAACGATTTCAATTTTGCAATTTTGTCTTGCATGGTCGGACATCTGCGCGACGAATGACTGCACAAACTGTACCAGATGTTGACAGTCGTAACATTGCCGCGGGCAACGGTCCATTGCTGTAGTGATGTCGTTGCGCGTCACGTGGGGATAGCATGCCACTTGGTCGACATGGTTTGCCTAATAGTGAAATATGATGTTCTCATGAAAATGTAATATTTATCATTTATAGACGTGAAGCGAGATCCTCTGCTTGGGAAATTCGGCGAAACATTACCCTACTCGTATTAAATTAATGCATCTGATTAAATTAGATTTCGTCCTAATAATATAGCCTCTTCGTGTGTTTTTTTCAGGGACGCCGGAAAGTCGATAATTGGGGGGGGGCTGATATTCATATATTCGTGTTCACAGACTGTAAAAACAATCGCTTTCAAAGGAAATAAATGATGCAGAACATGAATATGAATACCCCCCCCCCAATTATCGACTTTCCGGCGTTCCTATTGTTTTTTTTTTATTTTCCTAGATCCTCTTACAAATGAAATATGTCCCTAGGTGTATGGGAAGGAAAAAATTAGGAAGCCAGAAAAAATTGTCCGACTTATCAAAAAATTTCCCATCCTAAAATTTCCAAATATATATATTTTTGAAAAAATAATCGGCCGAAAGAGCGAAGATAAAAACATAAACAAAATAGAAATATATCCGAAAAGCAAAGTCTGTGAATTCAGACCTTGTGTATATAATAAAACAGTTATTCTACTCACTCTCGTCGAATATGAGAATTGTTATACTATACTCTATAGTTTAAAGGCCAGCATGTATCGAAGTTTCATGCCATTCTGCATTAGAATATGCCCCATTATGGGAATTTCCGGAATAAGGAACCAGACGCTCTCGTTATACGCCGCCATATCATATGTATTAAATTGGAAAGATACAGACAGTTAGACGATTTTAAATTAATAAAGTTCGAAATCATTGACAATGTTAAAGTTTGACAGTTGTGCCTGGTTTTCCACTGGCAAACTTGAGTGTCCCTATATGTCGTGTGCATGTCGTTGACTTCGCTTTTGAGTTTCGTTGACGTGAGAAGCGGCGCCGACAAAGGAAAGAGTTGGTTCGCGTTAACAAAATAGTTCAAGAATCAAGCTTCATCTTAAACATCTTAAATTCTAAAAACCATTATTTGCAAACAAAAAGTGAAAAACTACCTACCCGTATGCGCTGGCTGACACGATTTGGTGCCATATTGGCTTATCCTTTCTTATGCTCATCAGCTCTCGGAATGATCTAGTTTACAGCTTTTATCCCAGTTCATACCTAATTTTAGTGTGCAGTGATAACCAATTTGTGCAGCGATAAAAGTAAAATGTGCAGTGATAAAATGTAAAATGTGCAGTGATAAAATTTGCTTTGATAAGTTGTTAATTAACACAAGAAAATGAGACAATGAGCAGAAAAACTGAACTAATCCGGCGAAACATTTTGAACGAGAATGATTTAATTGAAATTGAAATGATGACTGCCAAATTATCGAACGTCCGCATTAATAACATACTTATGGTTCATCAGATGAACAAAGTCTCTCACCAAAGATCTCTTTATGAGTTTGGAAGAAGGAGTGAATGATACTTGTAAGATTTTGTAATTACTGTATAATTTTCAGAATTCTATAGAATGTCCCCGCACATTGCAGCACATACCCTTTTATAGTGCCTAGATTACAAAATTGTCTGTGGGTGCATGCCCCTGGAATTCCTCTAGAGGTTTGTCACGCCTAAGCCCGTAAGCCGCCTTTCATTTGCCAAGACAAAAATGTTTATTTTCTTCAGTCATGTTATTATGACACAGATAGTCGTAACTGCAGGTGCTGTCAAGGCCGCTCAGAGGGGTGCAATTTGTCCTGGGACCCCAGTTAAAGGGGGGTCCAAATAAAGAATTGCAGTGAAATATACATAGATATAACTAACTGTCAACTAGACTTCCAGAATGCAGGATTTGGCCATTTCTGGGACCTCAGATTCAAAATTTTTCCGGGTGATGCCCCCGGACCAGGGAATCATAGTGTTAGAACATGGAATCACGAGAGCCCCCAAGTCAAAGTTTGTCCTGGGCCCCCAAATTTCCCTGAGTGCTGTGCAGTGTATGTTCGTTTTGGCATTTTTGAATATGAATAGTAGCCTGCTTTGTTGTTACACATTATTATAAGGGTGTGTTCAGAAATTTTCAGGTCGTGCTTCTGCTCGACTAAACTTTGCACAAAACTGTGCAGTGATAAAAAATTCTTAAAATTAGGTATGACTCGAAGTCATTGTAAATATTCAATGTAAAAGAGTTAAGCCCCAACATTTCAGGCATGTAAAAGAGCAATGATTTAAGTTGTCCACAATCTACCTGGAAATAGTTATCATACGTCTCAGCCTAAATAAGCTGCAGCCTAAATGAGTTACGAACAACTCATATAAACAGTCAATTTTCATTAAGTAACAGATTATTTCTGACTAGTTTTATACCTCTGAGCTCATTACGAATAAATTGACCTCTTATGCGAACTACATTTTGGAAAGAAATCATGGCAGTTTTGTTTACAAAAAAACCCTCGGGTACTGTGCTCATTACTCATTTTGAATGGAAGTTCTGTACTATTTGCAGAAGAAGAACCCCAACCTCTTACTTGTGAAGTTGGTATCCTCATTAAAAATTATGTTCATTCATTCAAATCATTCCTCTTTTTTCACGGGGCTTAACTCGAACTTTCCAAGTTGTGTTTCTTTCTTCGAGTTAAGCCCTTGACAAAATGGGCGTGGTTTGGACGTGGTTTGGGCGTGGTCGGGCTTAATAACTCGAAAAAGACTTACCACTCACAATGATTAGTGTAAATGGAACCCAGTTTATCTACGATTATTACTTTGCCACGGGAAAATTTAGGTTGGATTAAATCGATCAATACAAGAAATACTTGCAATGTTCAAGGGGGCGGGGCGGGGGTACAAGGGCTTCCAATGGAATTTCTGGACGGAAAAATAATGAAACAATCACTACATGAAACATTTCACGCGTGCTGACCCAAAAATTACAAATAATTTTATGATTATAGTAGTACAGTCCTCACCTTCACACACAATAGCGGCTAAAGACAGACATTTCACATACTGCAGCCGCCCATCACAATTTCGAAAAATATTGCATCATTTATTAAAAACAATCCGTCAAAATGCTGTTTATTAGTCATATTTTGAAAATTTACTCGTCTGTAGTCGTTTGTAGTTATCTGTTACTTGTCTGTACTCGTAGTTTTAGAAACAATCTTGTTAAAAGTTAATACCTGAATTATTTGTCACAGTGTAGACCAGTCATGCACTGCGCTATATATTGACAAGAATGTGACAAATTCTGATATAAACCAATAGGCTTTGTAAGGCTCACTGCACAAAACATCAGACGCATTATAAATATACAATATTTCATGGCATGGTCTATTTCCAGACCACGTTGAAGATATAAGAAATCCATTAAATAAATAATGCTTATAAATAAGCCACAAACAAGAGATACCAGATGCATGAAGGTCCTATTACCTATCCTAAAATTAACTCTTTCTCAGCCGGTAGTTTCGTATTACATTTCGATTCAATTTTTCTAATATAAATATCTCGGCGAGTATTTACCCCCCTTTTAAATAAATGCCACCATTGAAATCCTCACAATATAACCTTTCCAACGGGGGGTCACGTGCCGTCAAAACATTACATAAACCGAAACAATCACATATTTATACTCACCGCTTCACCAAACATTCAAACGAGAAAAAGTTGAATAGATTCTAAACTTTGGCGACATTTTCTGAAAGGATATATGTGTAAAATACTCTTTGTATTCAAACGCTTTCGGCAAAAGGTATGTCTATGTTTATAATTTGTTAGTAATATTGTGTAATTTGATCAAATACCAAGCTCGCTTGACTTTCAAAGCTCATAAATCGCTACAATTTAGCCACTGACTAAAACTATTGTTATAAATTAGTGTATATTTTTATACTGAATCGAATGGTGGTATTTTCATCTACATAGCGTGCACTGAACCAAAGATATGAACGAATTACATCCGTAGAATGTGCACGTTCTACGCGTAATGGACCTAGCTGAGAAAGAGTTAAACTAAATCAGAAATAAATTATGTAAAATTAAACAAAAGTTAGAGAGTAACGAAATACTTCGCCACAAAATAAAAATACCGAAGTAAAACGTTACTTCTTAAAATGATTTCTTTCCAAGTAAAAGTAATCCAGAAAAAGTTTACTTTGTTACATGCTGACTTCTCAAAAATAGTACTCAAGTACAGTAACGAAGTACATTTACTTCGTTACTTGACACCACTGACTAAGTATTTCATTAGTTTCTCAGTATATTATTAAACATAGTACTCGTTTACATTTTATTACAGTACAACTAAGTACGTATTTTGTCGTGAAATGCACCAGTAGTTAAGCGGATAGAAATGCACAATAGTGAGCACCGCGGACGTGACTAAAAAACAGTCGCTAATAATTGGAGACCAGTTTTAGTATTACTTTGTCTTTCTCGTGTTCCTGGCATTGTTTACCAACATCATCCATAGTTTTTACCCATGAAGCAAAACTGTGATAATAGCGACAGTTTTTCATCACATCAGCGTCGTAGATTTGGTTATCTTAAGCTTCCTACTGTAAATGTGCAACGCCGAAGCTTGATCGGTGCTGGAGCTTTGTTCATATACTAGACAGAATCAATCTCGTTTCACGAGCCTGCAATCCTCGGGAAGGAACGTGAGGCTCTGGGATAATCCGTTGCCGGAAGCCAGGAATCCTGGCTAAGACCGAACTGCGCATTCGATATCAATGGCCAATCAGATTCTTTCATAAAACGGATTATCCCATAGCCTCGCGTCCTTCCCGAGGATTGTAGGCTCGGGGAACGAGATTTAGACAGAATATACAGTGGTGAACCTGGTGGCGAGCTTTGTGCATGTGTTGATATAGTGCATACAGCGACTATAGACTGCAACAAATTATGTCGATATTTCTTGGAAACTTTATTATATTTCAACAGCACTATTACCCGAAGATGTTTTTTACAAAGTTTAATACTAGGAGTTACTATCACAAAAAGTGCTGCCTTTTTTGCCACATGAACTGAATGCAAAACCTCACTAAAGGGAAGTTTACTTTTGACCCAATGAACTTATTCTTAAATTTCGTGCACGGTAAATAACCAACATGAAAAAGTTGCCATTGGGTCAAAAGTGGATAAACGGCATACCCGTTAGCTGACAATGCACCCCACTTTAGTATCAACTTTGTCTAACGCCAGACAAATTTACACTATGTAACTCCAGACGATTTTACTTGTCAGTTGTAGAGTATCAGTATCTGCTAATGTCTCTTATTAACTGCCATTGGCTGGCAATGCACCATACTTTAGTATTTACTGCCTATCTACTACCTGTAGGAAGCATTTTTGTATTGGGGGAGCTGATTAGTCAGGAGCGATTATTAGGTAATTATATCCCTCTCAAACTTCACAGATTATCGCTAGTTTACAATTTTTTTGGGGGGGGCTGAAGACCCCAGACCCACGGTTGCTACGGCCCTGCTACACCAGACAATTTTACTCGTCAGTGCCAGTAAATGGCTAAATTTCTCGTCACCCCCAATTTAAAATATTTACGATTTTTGTATCTGCGAAGAAGATATATTGCTATCGCAAACGTGCCATTAATGTTACCGTACCATATGTTAACACATAGCCATTCAGCGACAAGCTTATATAATTTAAGCCAATCGGTGATTATGTTACATCGTGTCCGCCATCTAACCTACGAACGGGCATGGTTTGGCCTCATGTTATTCAGGTATTCTCGCCATTTTGGATTAAAAAATCTCTTGAATTCGAATTGCTGTTTTTTCTCTCGCCATTCTACTATTAACATGGAAACTTATCCTCATCTGGTAAGTAGCCAAAATGTCAAATACCACATATTTTATTATATACATTTTAATATACAGTAAAACAATCGTTGTGTAATATTTTAAACAGTCAAAACATAGCAGGCAAGTCTGGCAATATTGCCAATGAACAATATTACAATATCAAAGGAAACTAATGTTCTAAGGAGATTTTGAATTTATAAATCCTGGTCCTGTATTTCTGTAACTCTGTTCAAAACAACAGTCCAACTAAGCTGTCATCAAATGTAGTGTTAGAGCAAAAGTTAATATGTTATAAACTAAAATACTTATACATTTTGGTTTTACACATTAGAGTAAAATTAAACAAAAT